CTGCAAGAGAGAGAAGTTAGAAAACAAGATAGAAGGCCATCCACCTTCAGCTATAAAAAGTCATTCAAACGGGGACAACAGTTACTGATATCGTGACTTATTACTGAAGCTGGTATTGTAAAAGCTAGAAAACATAATTCTACCAATAATGATATACATATATCATAATCAGAAAAAATGATTTAGAACGCACTGCCAACCTAATCAACTGCATGTTTGATGAAATCAAGTTCACAAGAGAAGAAAATTTAGATGAGATTCTATTTTTAGATGCTTTGGTAAAGAGTACAAAGAAACCAGAAAAAAAACAATTGTACAGAAAGTCAACTCATAAAGATTGAGCACCCATAACAGCAACAATCTAATAACACACAAAAGAAGCCATATACTGACATTATTTGAAAATTTGATAATTCCCATTGTAACATTATTATAATATTATTATTACTGTTTCCTTTAATTCCTAGAGGAACATAGGGCTTCAGCCGTGCGTCTCCATTGAGTTCGGTTCTCTGCTAGAGTCTTCACCTGACTCCAAGTCTGCCCACACGTTTTTATCTCCTCTTCACATGACCTCCTCCAAGTCAACCCCACCCTTGCACTGACGACCAACTCGCCGCTTCCCTTTCGGGTTCCACTCGAGCAATGGCTTGTCTAGTGATGTCACTTGATGGCTTGTTTCCTCAGAGTATGGCCAGCCAATCCATCTCCATTTCTTCCTGCCTATTTGTTTCACACTCGGTTCCTGCTGTGTTGGTTCGCTCATTGCCAGAGATCTCTGTTGCTGATCTTTTCTGACCGGCCATCTGATCTTGAGCGAAGTATTGAGCGAAGACAACTGTTAATGAAGGTCTGTAGTTTGTTTGAGATGCTCTTTATGACGCGCAGTGCAAGTCTCTGATCCGTATAGTAACATTAAAAACACAATATTCATCGAAGAGACTCTTTTTAGTGAATTTATTATCAGGGTGTAAAATCAAATATTCATGGTTTTTTTAAAAAAAAAGAAATTATATCCAGTGAGGAAACTGAATCAAAGGTGTGAATACACAAAATAATAATAATAATCATAGTATGTAATGCAATTAAACTATTTGTGATTATAATCGTAGTTAAATGTCAAGTGGCAAAACAATTAATGTCATATATAGAATAATTCATGAAATGTATTGATGTTCGAAAGGGACGTATAATTATAGGGTTAGTAGGCTAATATAAAACGTTACATAATATGGCATGAAACTTGGTAACATAGAATTCTATATTGTAAAAAAGATTTTCGGATTCAGAATGACGAGTGGAACAGCAAGAAACAATTCAAAGTAAGAATATTGATAAAAATAATAACCATGGCAATGAGGGAAAGATACATAGATTAACTAAATAAACAAAATAAGTGTCTATCCCTCTACGGCCAAGACAGAAGTAGGGATTGTACATACTTCTTTTGTACACAAAGGTCTGGCTGGCTTAAATTCATGAATGACCAAGGCCTCCGCTGTCTTTACAAGTTTGCAACGAAGAAAATGCGGCAAGTTAGCTTGGATTCCATAGATAATCTTAAAATCATGATCAGAGTGTGGTGAGAGCTGGCTGCTAGCTAAAGTTGGTAGACAGTAATTGACGTCAATGTTTATGTCCCCAATATTGGTGGTTAGAAAATGAGAACAAAGGATTTGTGTAGGCGGATACAGTTAGCATACGGATGATCTGACACAGCCACAAAGAGATGCAAGGTTAACTTTCTGTGAGAAACAACCAATCAAAAGACTGTAGTTTCTACTAACAATAATCTACAATATTGTACATTAAAATCTATAAATATGTGTTGAATTTCCTCAATAAACGATCTTTTGCCTGGCCCTTGTCTTCTGCTGCTACAAGAGTTGGTGGAGTGACAGGAGTCGATCATGTGCTCTAGAACAGAGCTTTGCAAGCCCTTCTTTCTCCCTTGTCAAACCATGCTAGAATATGTTCTAAATCCCATAATTGTTTACAGTGTTGGATTCTATCTTATCATGTTTCACACCATGTTGTGTAACGTTTTTTTTATTAGCCTTCTAACCCCATAAATAAACACCCATTTCCAACATCTATACATCTTATGAATTATTCTATATATGTGACATTAATTGTTTTGCTACTTGACATTTAGCTATGATTATAATCACAAACATTTTATTATTCGAGTTTGAACACGGATTGATATCAGTTAGAAAACCATTGGAAACCAGGGGGTACTGGACAGTAGTTTCATATTAGTTTGGGAATCATCAGCAGTAAGCATCCGCTGGGTTTTGACTCCAGGACTCTCCGGTTACTAGGCGAGCTCACATACCATTCGGCCACTGGCACCCGATTCAACGGCACATGAATTCTAACTTCTAGCGATTCATGATTTCAGCGAGACCACTAACTAACTGCGAAAACCAACAAACTGGTCGAAGAAGCAGCCGGTGAAGACAGGACTCCAGGTGAACATAGACAAGACGGAGGTTATGAAAATAACCAACCAACCAACAGCAACAACAACAACAGCAGCAACATTCACCGACAATCACCATCAAAGGGAGGGATTTGAAAGAGGTTACTTCATTCACTTCACTTATATAGGGAGCATTGTCTCAACTACAGGCAGGTGGAACGAACGAAGATGTCAAATCGAGAATCGGGAAGGCGAGAAACACATTCATCAACCTGAAACCAATCTGGAAATCTTCGTCACTCCTCAGCATCAACAAATTTCGGATTTTCAATACAAACGTCAGTCAAGTCAGTTCTTCTATACGGATGGATCAGAAACTTAGCGGCGGGTCACAAAGAATATTTCCAACAGCCTGTTGCAAACCTTCATCAACAACAACTGTCTCCGTTCTATACTCAAGATCAGATGGCCGGAAAGAATTACCAACAAGAAACTATGGGAACAAACGAAACAAGAACCAATCGCCCAACAAATATGCAGGAGAAAGTGGAGATGGATTGGACACTCGCTGAGGAGGCCGTTGGGTGACATCGCGCGTCAGGCCATCGCTCGAGTGGAACCCGAAAGGGAAGCGGCGAGTGGGACGTCAGTGCAAGGGTGACATGGAGGAGATCGTGTGAAGAGGAGTTGAAACAGTATGGACTAACATGGATGCAGGTGAAAAGTACAGCAGAAGACAGAAGCAAGTGGAGGCGTGCAGTTGAAGCCCTATGTTCCACTAGGAACCCAAGGGAATAATAATAATATATTATTTTATATATTAACACCTTTGATTCAATTCCGTAACCGGATATAATTTCTAAAAAAAAACAATACATACTCGATTGTACACCATGATAATAAATTCGTCGAAAAAAGTCTCTTTTCTGATTATTCAAATAGATAAGACACAATACCGCATGTTTGTTTTCTAGGAAAAATGGATGCCTTCGTGACTGTCTCTAAAGATGTCTATGACCAAATCAAATGACCCGTGAAACACCATCCTCCTAACATAAACGAAGATAATTTCGCTGCTAGAATGCTGAAACTTCTTGGAATAGACATCGCCTACAAATTTTGTATTACATAACTCCAATTACCAATCTTCACCTGTTTAGTTTAAATAACTATAACCAATTGTACTTTTGTTTGATAAACTTATTGTACACATACATACAAAATAACACATATATATTTGCGATTGTACAGCTAAGAAAATGAATTCGCCTCCGAAAAGAGACTCTTCGCTGAACTACGTGTTTTGTTTTCATTGATGCCTGGATGGGGATTATCCATGGATAATATATTGCCCAACAAATAAGTAGGAGGAAATGGATTGAACCTACACGGAAGTGACATCAGACACTAAACCCTTGAGAGGGGATTGACGGGTTGGGCATGAGTCCGAGACTGATTTAGTACCTTACAGGCACCAAGAGATGGGCCCACACACACACACACACAATCTCATAGTTTGTTTAGAAGCTGAGATAGTGTCCGCATGCCCACACCACGGGCAGGTAGGTGGTTATCTGAAGGGAACGAAGCAAGCAAGTTGTGTGAGTACCTTCGTATGATTATGAGCAATAAATTGTGCTCGAAACGTCATCCAATTAAAAAATTATCTAACATTCCCTAAGCTTTTGACTTCAATCGCGATCCACAAGATAGTGGAGCTACGTTTCCATGGATTCCAGTGACTAGAACAGCTTCATACACCATTCGATCCATCAGGATTCTTCAATCTATGTATACCATAGGAGATTTGAAATCAGCGTGTTCCAGCTCCCCTAGGCGGAGAATGTCTAACAGTCCGGTTGTAAGCGTCAGACATTTTTTAAATTCACGCTTTCGTTTATTTGAATGACACCTCTACCACTTGAAGGCAGTGAATGGGACTTATCTAGCAGAGGCAATGAACGCGAGGGTTCAAGGGTGATATGTAAGAGATCATAAGAAGCCGAATTTTTAAAACTTGTTGGAAGTTGACGAACAAGATGATGAAAGGGATGGAAGAGAATCAAACACAACAGCGATTTTCTGTTGAAGTCGTATATGCTACTCAAAACTCAAGGAGTATGTTGTGAATACTTATAATTAGGATTCAATCATACAAAATACATCATCTATACAATTATAAATAATTATAATATATACAGTTTAAAGTAATTTACAACTTTAACGTTTTAAAAAATTATCATGTAAATCACCACGTTGACGACTACTGGCTTTACGATGTACACTTTCTTCCACTGTAGTCAAATCAACATGTCGATTTTTCAGCTGGCCAATAAATGATGGTCCATGTGAAAATTTTGTCACCATTTCATGTTCTTCTTCAACTCTCTTTCTTTCATAGTGTTTCGTGGCTCGATGAATACGCTCTTTCTCGTGTTCTTTAGCATCAAGCATCATTTGTAAACGCTTGGCTTCAATTTCTTCTTTCGATAACTTTGATCGATTGGATGTTGTTGCTGCTGCTGCTGAGGACGTTGATGATGATGGCTTGAAGTGATCCGGCTTTTTATCGTTATTATTATTATTATGTAATCTTGGTCTCGATATATCTGACTCATCATTACGATCATGTCTTTTCGAAGAATATGTATGCTGTCTGGAGGAATAATTATTCTGATCACGTCGTGAAGGATGAGGATGCTGTTGCTGCTGCTGCCGCTGATGATGATGACTACGATTACCATGGGAACTGGATGATTGTTTCGATGATGGCGGTGATTGTGGAGGAGGCGGTGTTTGACATGGAGGCTTATCATCATCATCACCAACAGTCTGTTCACTTTCTAATTGATCTGATTGACGAATAATTTTAATAAATTTATTTAATAGTTCATCATCTGAACTAGTACTACTGCTACTGCTTCTACTCCTACTTCGACTTCTACTTTCATTATCTGATTTCGATGAGGACCTGGAGCGTTTTTGATGTTTGCGTTTCTTTTTGTGTTTGGCATGTTTACGTATTGCTTTCTGTTTCTCTTTACGTAATTTTTGTTCTGTTAACTAATTTGAAAAGCAAAAACAAAAAAAGAAAAAAAAAAGAAAGAGAAAAACAAAAATAATTTAGCTCACACCATTGTAGGTAGATATTGACAACATGAAGTAGTCAATATTAATAAGGAAGGCCTTCTGTTTGAAGGTTACCTACCATAATCTGAAGGTTAATCTTAATTATTTTCCTTGAGAGTTCGTCTAATAGCTGATGACGTTAGAATCCACCTGAAAAAGCTACACCTATGTGCTCAGAGAAAGTTCATATAGACGACTTTCTTACCTTGGGCTATTATTACTTGACTGGAAAAATTCTGACAATTCCCCTTTCATACTAAGTATTTACCAAATAACACTGTTTTATCAATGTTGTTCCTTTGCGTTCATCCAGTTATCTGCAGTCATTTTTCTTTCCCCGACGGGCATTACTAGCTGATATAGGTGCAGGTTGGAAAAGAGTAAGTGGTGGCCAAACAAAAACATGGCCTCATCAATCCATGAAATCCCTGACAGTTAAACTGAGTCAAGTAGGTAGATGCAGACTTCCGGGTTGGGGCCCTCGGGACTCTAAGAATCAATGGCTGGAGACAATAGGTGACATGGCTCAAAATCGTTGTCAATGGCTTACGCAGATGTATTCAGTCTCTGTAATCTTTCATATTCCTTTCTACCATTACTCATTCTGTTTCACTCTTATACTTGTCAAAACTCTATTGATTCTCTTCACTCATTTTCTTGTCTACCTTTGTGTGATAATTGGAACGTGGCAACTGGAAGTGCTGCACTTCGGTGCCACGTTCTATGTTGAATCTAGACAGACAGCAGTCCTTTTTGGCTGACCCTACGACTGACCATAAGTTTTCACCTCCTCACACTATCTCCTCCTGATTCGTCTTTTTCCACCTGGGTTCTAATCGAGGGCCTGGCGCGTGATCTCATTCAACGGTTTCCTTCCCCATTTTTGTTGAACAATAGATTCTTATTTGATTCATTACCAGAGTTGCTCGTTGTCAATTCTTCCTGTCTATCTCATCTTCAGTATGTAAATTTCGGAGGCAGCTGTTGATAAAAGTCTGAAGAATGTTCAAAATGCTTCAAATGATGCGCCAAGTTTCTGATCGACGTTTCAACATAGAAGAATGGACTGACTTAACATTGGTATTGCATATCTGAATTTGGTTATTTATGCTGAGTGCTGAGCAGATCTCCAAAATGATTTCATAGTGATGAATGTCTCCCTTGCCTTTCTGATTTTACTTTCAACATCCTAATCCATTCCGCTCGTTAGTCGAAACACTGATGCCTAGATAAGTGAAGGCAGGAAGTAACCTCTTTCAAATCTCTTCCTTTGATTGTGATTGGTGCTTGTTGGTGGTGTTGATTGGTTATTTTCATCATCTCGTACTTCTCTATGTTCACATGGAGTCCTATCTTCACTGACTGTCTCTTCTGCTAGTTTGTTGATTTTCGCCTGCCTGCAAGTCTTCAAATTCATGTGAGATTAGGCATAAATCATTCACGACGTCCAGATCTTCTAGAGTCTTCTTATCGGTTCAAAGTACTCCTGTCTTCTTGCTCTACACAGTTTGCCGCATAATCCAGCCAATCACGATTAAGAGGAGTATTAACGGTGATAGCATGCAGTCAGCCTTGTCTTTCACTGCATGTCTTCACTTCAAAGGCTTCGGTGAGTTTTCTACTGGGGATTACTTGACACACATTGTATTTTACAAATATAGTCGACTGTTTAGATATAATAGAGAAGATTTGTAGCTCAGGTGGATGATTTTGGTGTGGTTGTGTTCTCTGAGCTGGATGGTTTGGTTGCGAAGCTTTCATTGCTCTACTGAGCAACATCTTCAGCGCATACTTCGATGTGAAGTGAGCTTTTAGGATTCTCTATGAGTTTATTAGTCATCTCTTCTAGTAACCTTGAACGTGATTGGTTGTTTTCGTGTGACATTTCACTCCCTAGTTTGCTTGTCTCGGTGCTGGCTGCTTCTTTGGTCTGAATTTCGTTAGTCATTCCTTCTGCTAACCTTGAACGTGATTGGTTGTTTTTGTGTGACTTCTCACTTTCTAGTTCACTTGTTTTGGTGTTGACTGTTTCCTTGACCTGAAGTTTGACTTTGTTTTTGTGTGAATTTCTTCGTATGGATTGGTATATTTTGTCAATCTCTATGTGTCTATTGATTGCTGATTCATTTGAATACCAGGCCTCTAGGAATTCTCTGGCATTTTTGCAGTTCCCTTTGTCTAAGATTTGAACATTGTCCCAGTCGAATTGGTGCCCGTGGTTGTCTGCATGTAGTGATATGAGGGAGTGTATGTCGTGTCGTTTGACAGCTAGTTTGTGTTCGTGAATGCGAAGACGAAGAGGGCGTCCACTTTGACCAATGTAATGTTTGTCGCAGTCGTTGCAACTTATCTTGTAGATGACGTTAGTTTTGTCTTCTTTTGCCGTTGAGTCCTTTGGTTTACCACTTTGTTTAGAGATATTGATTAAAAACTAAATCCACAGAAGTCCTTACTGTGGTGAGAGCTGTCTGCTAGTCAAAATTGGTAGACAGCAAATTTACGTCAATGTTTACGTTCCATATCTCGGTTATGAGAAAACAAAGACTAACTCAACAACCAATCACAGTAGACTTAGCGTGGGCGGATACGATTAGCACATATATATCAACGGACTGTCTAAGAGACGGCAACAAAGAGATGACAGAATAACCTTCAGCAGGAAAACAACCAATCAGAAGACGTTGCTTCTCTGCTGACAATAACGAATAACAATGTACATAAAAATCTATGATTTTCTCAATAAACGATCTGTTGCCTGGCTCTTGTCTTCTGTCGTTATACTACAACACAAAGCTCATTGAAGTAGTAATCTAACGACAGAAGACAAGAGCCAGGCAACAGATCGTTTATTGAGAAAATCAACAGATATTCATAGATTTTTATGTACATTATTATTCGTTATTGTCAGCAGAGAAGCAACGTCTTCTGATTGGTTGTTTTCCTGCTGAAGGTTATTCTGTCATCTCTTTGTTGCCGTCTCTTAGACAGTCCGTTGATATATATCTGCTAATCGTATCCGCCCACGCTAAGTCTGCTGTGATTGGTTGTTGAGTTAGTCTTTGTTCTTGTTTGTTTTCTCATGACCAAGATATGGAACGTAAACATTGACGTAAATTGCTGTCTACCAATTTTGACTAGCAGACAGCTCTCACCACAGTTAGGACTTCAGATACTCATAGATGGTCCTATGATCCCCATTACATTGAAACTGATATAATTGTTGTATGTTAAAGACCTTTATTCCCAGCCTCTCACTACTCACGAGCTGCATCCATGGTCGGGTTAAGAACGTGCACACTTGTATGCAGCGCACCAAATTAGGACGAAACAGCTGCCTAGTACTACCTTCAAGAATTATATTATGCATAAAGTAATCCTTAATCATACGGAATTTCTCTAAACATTTGGCTGCAACAACTGATTTCCACAAACAATAAGTTGGCAGAAAAAAGCAGCTAAGATAGGACTTCAAGTGATGAACATAGAGAAGAGAGAAATTGTGGAATTACCTGAACAGCAACAACAACAACCACCAGTCACTATGAATAGAACATATCTTAAGGAAGTCACCTTCTTCACTTTCCTAAGCAACATCGTTTCAACTAGAAGTAATATATATATAAGGACGTCAAAGGCAGGATCGGGAACTGAAGTGACTGGTTTCAAAGTAAGACTTTACACAGATATGCAGCAGTTCGAGTTGTCACACTCCATGCAGTACACAAAGCAAGAGGACAGATTAAAGACAGATTCGAAACAAAGAGAGATAATAAACAGAAATATGAGGCAAAAACAATAGTAATGTAGAGGAACAATAGAATTTTATTACATATTATAAACTACAAAGAGTGAATGTATCTGCGTCAGCCATTGACAACGAGGACTTTGAGCCATATCACCGATTGTTTCTAGCATTCATTGGTTTTACCGTCCCGAGGACCCCAACTAGTCAGGAAGTCTACATCTTCATCAACTAACTGTTGTGGATTTCACTGGCTGATGTAACCATGTTTTCGTTTGACCACCACTAGATCTTTTCCAACCTGATCCATTTATGTCAGTTACCATTGCCCATCGAGGAAGGCGAGCGATGGCTAGACATGTGTAACACATGTCCTAACCACCTCAATCAGTGTAACTTCACAACCACCTCGTCGATTGATTTCTCCTCCGTACCTAGCAGTCGACTGATGCCTAACCTCAATATTGTTTACCCTTTTATACAACCACCTAACAAGGGAGATAGAACGCAGGCATCTGTGATCAAAGACAGCTAGCCTTTTCGTATTTTCCACTTTGGATGGCCATGTCTCACAGCCAAGAAGTACACATGGCCTTTGATCGATAGCCGGATATCACGTCTACGCCGTAAGTTGGCAAAACTACACGAGTATTGTGTATCCGCCCTGAGATTTCGTCAGCAATTAATTCATTAGGGCTGATGCAACTTTCCAAATTAGTGAAGTGATCAACACCAGCCACTACTTCATTCTCTATCTTTAAGCTGGGGTGGGGGCCAATCCAGTATAGTCCTTCAACATCATCTTACATCTGACAGGAGCGAATCCCATATCAAACACTCGAAGATTTCTGTTCAAGGTGTTCAGAAGACTGCATTTTGTCAGTGTCTTCACTTAGGAGACAGGACTGCATCATCTGCATATTCTGGATCGGAAAAGCAAGACAGAAATTCATTAATAAACTGAAATCAGTGGGGAAATCAATAGCACCATGCATCGGAAAGAAGATTTCAATCTTCAACACTAATGTCAAGGTAGTCAGTGCTTCCTTATAATTCAGAGACTTGGTTTATGCGTCACCGAAAGCGTATTCAACAGCTTACTGCACAGTATCATCAACACACACACACACCACTACCACACATCACAATGAAGACCAGATGGCCGTTCAGAAAGGATAAACAACAAGGAACTCAAACAATCGGTCGGTCGGTTGGTCGGTTTTCGACATAGAACTTTGCACATATGTGCGGCAGTTCAAGTCGCCACACTCCCTCCTTGTAGCACACAAAGCAAGAGAAGAAAGTAGGAGAAATGCATAATATAGACAGTAAACAGAGGCGTGAGACAAAGGAATAGTAATAACGGAGAACAAAACAGTTTCATTGGAAATCATAAGTCACAAGGAGTGGATGCATCTACGCCAGCCATTGAGAACGATTTTGAGCCATATCACCAATTGTTTCCAACCATTGGTTTTTACTGTCCCGAGGACCCCAACCAGTCAGGAAGTCTACACCTTCCTACGTGGCTTAGACTAACTGTTGTAGATTTCATTGACTGGTGCCATGTTTTCGTTTGACCACCGCTAGCTCTTTTCCAGTCTGGCCCTATATCAGCTAACATTGCCCATTGTCGAGGAAGGCGATGACTAGCCATGCATGCGAAACACATGTCCTAACCATCTCAGTCGATGTAATTTCACAGCCTCGTCGATTGATTTCCCCTCCTTACCTAGCACTCGACGCCTAACCTCAATATTGCTCACCTTATTATACCACTTCACGCGGGAGATAGAACGCAGACACCTATGATCGAAGACAGCTAATCTTTTCATGTCTTCCACTCTCAATGGTCATGTCTCGCTCACAGCCATAAAGGAGGACGGAGCGGACTGATGAGCAGTACACACGCCCTTTAGTCGATAGCGAGTCGGATATCGCGTCTACGCCAGAGACGGCGTAAACTGGCATATGCGAAACTAGCCCTTTGTATTCGTGCTGAGATTTCGTCGGAGATCAACCCGTTGGGGCTGATGGTACTTTCCAAGTAAGTGAAGCGGTCAACGTGCTCTACCACCCGAAGATTTCTGTTCAAGTTGTTCAGAAGACTGCATTTTGTCAGTATCTTCACTTAGGAGACAGGACTATATCATCTGCATATTCTGGATCGGAAAAGCAAGACAGAAATTCATTAATAAACTGAAATCAGTGGGGAAATCAATAGCACCATGCATCAGAAAGAAGATTTCAATCTTCAACACTAATGTCAAGGTAGTCAGTGCTTCCTTATAATTCAGAGACTTGGTTTATGCGTCACCGAAAGTGTATTCAACAGCCTGCTGCACAATATCATCATCAACACACACACACACCACTACCACGCATCACAATGAAGACCAGATAACCGTTCAAAAAGGATAAACAACAAGGAACTCAAACAATGAACCAACTAAGGAACTTATCCCCACAATAAATACGCCGAAGGAAATGGAGATGAAATGGACACACACTGAGGAGACTGTTGAGTGACATAACAAGCCAGGCAGACAGACAGGCAAGCTTTCGAGTGGAACCTGAATAGGAGATGGACAGGTGAGAATAGGGGTGTCCGAGGCTTACATGGAGAAGACAGTGTGTGAAAAGGAGGAAATGGAAAACAAAGTGGTGAAAAAAACAAAAAAACAGACAATAAACTTACAAGTCTCCTTAACTTTTTCACCTTAGCTGTGTTATGTAACAATTCCATGCGTTTTTCCGCTTCTCTTTGTCTATTTGATGATTTAGAGAAAAAAGGGGAATGAAAATTAGAGAGACACTAAAATTTTACTCTTACTTCATAATTGTTAAGGGATCTTCACGGAATTTCGCCTCCATATCGAATCTAGCCAATCGTTGAGCTGGGGACTCTTCATAATCTAATAATTATTTATATGAAGAGATATTATTATTATTTATTATTGAAAACACACGATGAGCACCAAGAGATGTGCCAGAAACCAATAATAAAACAACAATGTGTAAAGAACATGCGGGATAGAATGAGTGATGGACGTCATCCAAAAGCCAAGCGGAGACTGTGAAAAGCCAGCGACGGGTAACGCCATCCATCCTTCTTCTAACAGACCCATTCAGATGGACTGCACACACACACACACGACTATCTACTGGAATCGAGTCAAAAAGGTATTTTTCTGCCCTAATACTCAATGCTATCCCTACACCTGTGAGGAGTCTCCTGACACCCTTAAAATGAATTTCGCAAATTCATCTTGTTGGCTGGGTGGCGTTAAGTGAATAACCACACTCGGGTCCTGTATGCATGTCTTCGAGACACAACATGCATCCATGGCTCGAGATGCCAGAGCTCTAGATAGTGATGCCTGTCGTCCGATTTGGCAGAGGGTTCTGACGTCAAATGCTCCAATACGAAGTTGGCAGCGTGGCTGTAAGAGGCTATCGGGGGTGCTTTATTAGCTCTCAACGTTATTCGTAGTCACAGAATTAAATGAAGATGACTGACTGTCGGTAGTAGGGAAGCAAGCTGATGAGGGTGACAAGGATAAAGGATGATGATGATCAGGAAGACGTTCGTTACTTCCCGGCTGCCCACACGGTTGCAGGAAAGGCAAGCAAGCATAACTGTGAAGATAATCCATCACTCATCACTTCATTTAACTTTCAGAAAGGAAAGAAAGCAGGAAATTGCAGGATGTTCGCCATTGATAGCGATTCTTGGCCATAACTGATCACGTTCACAGTCAGTGATTCGAACTATCTCTCGGGTTACAGAACCAGGGACTCGTGATGTACTCTAACCGATGCTAACTTAACAACAAGTATCCTTTATCCCACGGTGCCACTACATGGGTTGACCATCTCTCCGCTTTTTCCATCCAGTCCTAGGGTAAGTGGACAACAACCAACCGGTACAGAAGCTTCGGGGATAACATTCGCAGCATATATATCCAAGCCACCGAAGCCAATGTTTCAAGATGACTACACTCAATAAGTGCTGACCTCCACCATGTTCGAAAACACGCTGACGTCATGAGACGCAAGTAATCCTGTGGACACAGAAATGATCCAATACGCAGAGTCACCCGCACAAATTTTTTTTAGTATTCCAACACGTTCCCCAGTGGAACATAGGGCTTCAAGCTAGAGGCTTGAAGTTTCTGTAGCAGTGATGTTTATTTTTACGGGATCGGGTTGCTAGCCTCACGCCCAACCTTCCCTACTTACCAGTCTTATTACTGGCTTAGCGAGGTAGAGGAGTGCGTCGACCGGGGATCGAACCCCCGACCATGACCCGCACAAATTAAGAGACAACAATTCATGAGGAGATATATATATTATGATTCTTTATTATTTTTTTCAAACCTACCTTTACTAATTTCTTGAATTTCATCTAAACTTTTCACTTGTTTGCCTAACAGAAATGCTTCTGGATTCTCTTTTGGTTTTTCATACATCCATGAATTATCCTTGGCACTACTATAAGGTTTTTCATTAAAAATTTCATTTGAAAACTTACTCCTTCTCAGCTAACAGGGTGGCAATTTTCATACGTTCATCTGGAGCCTGAAAACAAAAAAAAAGAATTAGAAGCAACATTAGATGATATTTTTTAGGAATAAATCACTCGATAATGTTAATACTGTCAGCTATTACTTAGTGCGTAACGCTTCGACGATACTTTGAAGTTAAACCAGCAGACATAGTGTAATTCTAGGATTTCAGCACCGTGGTGGAATATTTTTTTCATTCACGTTCCCCAGTGGAATATAAGGCTTCAAGCTAGAGGCTTGAAGTTTCTGTAGCAGTGTTTATTTTAAAGGATGGGGTTGCTAGCCTCATGCCCAACCTTTCGTCTTCACCAGCATTATTTCTGGCTTGGTGAGGTAAAGGGGTGCATCGGCCGGGGATCGAACTCCGGAACATGTACATGGTCGGCGAGCGTCCTAACCGCTATGCCACTGACGCACATAGTGGAATATAATTCCATATTATTATTTAATCAAAAAACACAGTGATTCAGTATTAATAACTGAATGGGCAAGAGTAAACAATAGACACCAAAGTCAAATGACCTTGATTTGACCAATCAGATTCTCCTAGGTGAAAAGTGGTACTTAATTTACAAAGAAGTGTATCTACGATACATATATGCGATAAAAATGAATCATATAGGGTATATATCTCTAATGTGCTGCAAAAACTGGTCCCAGATTCGCATAGAAGTGGTTGCAGACATATCAAACCAATGTATTCTTTATTTCTCCAGCTGTAGCAGATTATTATTACTATTATTGTTCCCTTGGGTTCCTAGTGGAACATAGGGCTTCAACTGCACGCCTCCACTTGCTTCTGTCTTCTGCTGTACTTTTCACTTGCATCTATGTTAGTCCATACTGTTTCAACTCCTCTTCACACGATCTCCTCCATGTCACCCTTGGACGTCCCACTCGCCGCTTCCCTTTCGGGTTCCACTCGAGCAATGGCCTGATACGCGATGTCACCTAGCGGTCTCCTCAACGAGTGTCCAATCCATCTCCACTTTCTACTGCATATTTGCTGGGCGATTGCTTCTTGTTTTGTTTGTTCCCATAGTTTCTTGTCGGTGATTCTTTCCGGCCATCTGATCTTGAGTATAGAGCGAAGACAGTTGTTGATAAAGGTCTGCAACAGGCTGTTGGAAATATTCTTTGTGACCCGCCGCCAAGTTTCTGATCCGTATAGAAGAACTGACTGACTTGACGTTTGTATTGAAAATCCGAATTTTGTTGTTGATGCAGGCTGAGTGACGAAGATTTCCAGATTGGTTTCAGGTTGATGAATGTGTTTCTCGCCTTCCCGATTCTCGATTCGACATGCTCGTCCGTTCCTCCTGTAGTTGAGACAATGCTTCCTCCCTAGATAAGTGAATGAAGTAACCTCTTTCAAATCCCTCCCGTTGATGGTGATTGGCGCCGGATGTTGCTGCTGTTGTTGTTGTTGGTTGGTTATTTTCATAACCTCCGTCTTGTCTATGTTCACCTGTAGCAGATACTGGTTGCATATACGCAATATATTACCAAGGGAGAGCTTTGATTTCGAGAAGTTTGCCTAAAAAAATCACCAATTACGTACGACTTACAAACTTATACAGACTTCCTCATATAAAGTGGTTGCATTTGAATGTATAACCATCAGAAGCCCGGCAATACTTTTGCAGAGTCAGTATCCCTCCATATATGCATGTTTTATTCCTCCCTATAAACACATTTTCCACAGAGAGAAGTCAAAAACCAAATCTAGGAGACATTTTCAAAGAGGATTACGACTAGCAACCATTTGTAATGCTGAGCTATCTGATTGGTCAAATCAAGGTCATTTGACTTTGGTGTCTCTTGTTTACTCTTGCCACTGAATGACGTTTCGAGAATAATTTATTGCCCATAATCATATTGTGGTGAGGGCTGTCTGCTAGCCAAAACTGTAGACAACTATTTACGTCAATGTTCACGTTCCAAATTGAGAGTCATGAGAAAAAACAATAACAAAGCTTAACCTTGAGGAACTAACTCACTAACCAATCACAGAAGACTTAACGTGTGCAAATCCGATTCGCAGATATATGGCCTGACTTTCTAAGAGACGGCCACAAAGAGATGATAGAATAACCTTCAGCGAGAAAACAACCAGTCAGAAGAGGTTGCTTCTCTGCTAACAATAACGAGTAATAATGTACACAAAAATCTATAAATATCTGTTGTTTTTCTCAATAAACGATCTGTTGCCTGGCCTTTGTCTTCTGTCGTTACAATATCAATGTGTTCATACGGCTTTATAATTTGCTTCATATATATATATATATATATATATATATATATATATATATCCCCTTCGTTTTTTATTGCAGTTCTCTATACATTAGATATAGGCGTTGGGTCATTTCGATTGCAGATGTGCCGTGTTCAGTTGATAAACTAAGCTTCAGGGACTAACCTCTCTCTGTCCACCTAACTGTATTACTTCTTAATACTCTCACCCTGTCCCACACAACCTATTTTGTGATTACATGTAAGTGAAACGCAGTGCAGTAGCTGAGCTCTGCTTTTTCTAGGTTATTTAACTTAACAGGGTCAACCATTCTAGGTCTAGTTAAATTCCTATCTTCCGACAATCTAATTGACTCTGATCTACTAGTTTGACTGGCCTATGTAATTGACCTCACAGTCATCACATGGTATTGGGTAAATGATATTATCTTTCCTAATTGGTTATATCGGGTCCCTAGGCTGACAGAGTTTATCTCTAAGTGAGTTGATTGATTTAAACACCACCCATAGAAATCCTACGTGGAGATTCTAATGTTCCTTCTTTATGTGACGGTACTATATAGGCTTTAAATTTCGCATTATTCATATTACTACTCTTATTTTTTATGGGTCTTTCTACATTTTTGAATAAAATCTTATGAGTAATATTTTCTTTATTTTCAACTATTGGTTTTGTAGGAATTTTGTTTGAGTGGATGGAGGATTTCATCATGAGCTGACATCAGTTAGAGAACTACTGGAAAACCTAGGAGTACTGGACAGCTGTTTCGTCCTAGTTTGGGACTCTTCATCAGTGCGCATCCCTGCAAAACCAATACTTGAAAATTAATCTGATGCTCACTAGCGACTGGACCTATTCAGGCAGTTAACCTGTGGTTCTAGTGGGAAGCCGTGACCAGTAGGGTACAGCAGGTTGAAGATGAGGCAGTAACTCATAGAAGAAGACATTGCTAAATGATCGCGCTATGCCTTGAATCGGTAGAAGTTAGAATTCATGGGCCATTGGATCAGGGTCCCAGTGGCTCAATGGTCTACGAGCTCTCCTTGTAACCAGAAGGTCCTGGGGTTCGAACCCCAGTGAATGTGAGCTGTTGAAGAGTCCCAAACTAGGGAGAAACAGCTGTCCAGTACTCCCAGGTTTTCCAGTGATTCTCTAACTGATGTCAGCGCTCATGACGAAATCCTCCATTTTCTTTATTTGTTTGATTTTATTATTTAAACCTTCTGATTTGCTAAATACGCTCCTGCACTGATTGGATAGACATTTAATTGAACATACCTTTACCGATTCTGAGTAAGATGAACTAAAGTCTAAGTATTTATTAGAAACTGTGTGTTTTTTTTCGGATTTTACAATCTAGCATAGTTAAGTCATCCTCTTCCTTTTCTAACTCAAAAGTGAATTGGAATCCACCTACTGCTAAATTTATATGTCTAAGGAATTTAGGGCTATACTCAGATGTTAACAACAAGAGTAATTGGGTCCAGCAAAATCGATTAAAGAGTGATTTAAATGTTTCAAAAAAATAACAACTTATACTCGTTTCTGACTGACTGACTGATTTTCAACATGGAGCTTCCCACGAAAGTGTAACAGTTCAATAGTAACATGGAAAAGCATGAACATTTAATGAATATGGAACCCTACAAAGAGTGAATGATTCTAAGCCCCATTGACAACGAGGATTTTGAGCCATATCATCAACAGTTTCCAGCAGATTGATTCTTAGGATGCCAAGAGACACAACCAGGCAATCTACACCTCCCTAAGTGGTTGGCTCAAACCAACTGTCAAAGATTTCATGGACTTAGGACAGTTTTAGTTTGACCATCCTTAACTCTTTTCTAGCATAATCTTATATTGGTTACCATTGCCCATCGAGAAAAAGGTAACGGTTAGGCAAGCGCAACACTTGTCCTAGCCATCTCTCAATCGATGTAGATTTACAACCTTATCGATTGATTTGCCCACCTTACCTTACACTCGACGACTAACACTCAACATTACTCATCATAGTGTCGGTGGCATAGCGGTTAAGACGCTTGCCGATCATGCAAATGGTCCGGGGTTCGATCCCCGGTCGACGCACTCCCTTACCTCACTAAGCCAGAAATAATGCTGGTGAAGAGGAAAGGTTGGGCATGAGGTTAGCAACCCTATCCTGTAAAATAAACACTGCTACAGAAACTTCAAGCCACTAGCTTGAAGCCCTATGTTCCACTGGGGAACGGGAAGGAAAAAAATCATTCCATTGGGGTTGATGCAGCTTCCAGAATAAGTGAATTAATCAACAAACTCTGCCACTCCAGCTGGGGGGTGGTGCAATGCAGTATAGTCCTTCAGCACCAGCTTACATTTGACAGGAATGAATCGCATGTCAAATACACGAAGATTTCTGTTCAAGGTGTTCAGAAGACTCTGTGTGTGTTATTAGAGTCTTTATCTAGGAGGACTATATATCATCCGCGTACTCTAGGTCACCTAAACTGTCCACTACTACCAAGCCAATCCCTAAGTTGCAAGAGTCAATTCCACTATTACATCTACACTGAAATAAACCAAAGATGAGGACAGTGGGAAGCCCTGACGGTCACTACTGGTTGTCAAGTATGGAATTTTCAACATGTGATATCGGTAGCCCAAATTTTGCAAGCCGACCACTGATATCAGGTGTGCGTCAGTAGGGGATCGAACCCCGAACCATATGCATGGTCGGCGAGAGTCCTAACCGCTGTGCCACCGACGCGCAAGAGGTGGTCTTTGTATCTTAGCAGCTAAGTGACTCAAAATGATGTTTGGTTATTTGTTTTAAATTTTAATGTGAACACCACCATTCTCTGGAATGCAGTTAGATACTGCTGACGTCCTCCAGATACGTTGGAATGTGCTAGTCCAACACAAGAGATCCATCCGACATAGGACCTTCACGTCACGGGTAGAATCCATTGACTATTCAACCACTGGGGTGGGGCCAAATAACCCTGAGGGTACTATATTCATTCCCCGGTAAGGTCATGCGTACATGTTGACGAGGGGTCTCAGACTGTGACGAAATGTCTGTCCAGTACTCCCTAGTTTTCAATGGTTCTCCAACTGATGTCAATTAGTCAAGTAAATTGGACAGATAGTTTGTTCTTAATAAGTGTAATTTAGGAGGGTACTTCCAGGCAATATTGGTTAATTTTCTATAGTTTGGTTTGTAAGGGTTAGTTATGCTTTATGAGTTGATCACGGATTGATATCAGTTAGAGAACCATTGAAAACCAGGGAGTACTAGACAGCTGTATGTAAAAACATAACTAACCCTTACAAACCAAACTATAGAAAATTAATCTGATGCTCGCTAGTCACTTGCTACAGGTTGGAGCTTCCTGTAGTTCTAGTGAGAAGTCGTGACCAGTGAGGTCCAATCAGATGTCACGTGTGTGGATGGATGTCCCACCAACGACAATGGTTGGGGTCGCGCTAAATCACGAATCGGTAGAAGTTAGAATTCATGAGCCATTGAATCGGGTCCCAGTGGCTGAATGGTATACGAGCTTGCCTTGTAACCGGAAGGTCCTGGGTTCGAATCCCAGTGGGTGCGTACTGCTGATGATTCCCAAACTAGGATGAAACAGCAGCTGTCCAGTACTCCCTGGTTTTCAATGATTCTCTAACTGATATCAGTCCGTGATCAACTCGTAAAACATAACTAACCCTTACAAACCAAACTATAGAAAAATATTGGTGAAGCCGAAGAGATAGTTACATTTACTAACTATAATTACCAAGTAATTGTATAGGCAAAAAAGCATTATAGTTGGAAACACACAGGTCAATAAATTATTTCACATAAAAATGGGTGTGTATGTAGTTTGAGACAGTCTATTGATTAGGCAGAATTAATGTCAATGAATCACTAACTCCTAAAATAATAATTGAATTTCCTTTCTCTTCTGACTAAGTAGAGTGTGATATAAAATTTGGCCTTTGTTTCACCTACAACAACAAAACGAAGATTACGTCACCACCACCTATTAACTGCACAAATGTAATAGTCACTAAAAATTCTATGCATTTTTTGTTTGAAACCGATGGTAGACTACGAAATAAAATTAATTGATTTTTATGCACAAACTAGTCTGATGTGCCGATGAAATTCTGCAGATGGGGTTTTCATTTCAAAGGAAACATGAGTTTCCTGAAAGTGGTAGAGATATGGTTTGCTTTGACGCTGTCCATCACACCCCATCCCCCACAAAAAACATGAAACCAAGGTCTACACCACTCCTGTTGATTGACACACCTCTTAACTAACACCTAGTGTCATATTCCTTGGATAAATACAATTTAACAACCACGCCTGTACCCCTATACTACACGTAATAAATCAAATCCAGACAAAGCTAGGTTCAGGAGTGCAAGACAAGCAGGTATCTATTAAAGTAATTTGGTGGACGATTCGTGACTAGCAGTGGAATTCAGGATACGCACTTCGTCCTATTTAGGACTCGTCACCTAGATGTATCTGAATTCACCAGCAGAATGGCCGTACCCATTGTTTCAAACGACAAAGCGTTATCTACCAAACTAATTGGGCCACGAGAACCACCTCTTGTGCAACGTGTGTCAGTCACCAATTGTTTTTAATTCTATTTTGATACTCCCGTTGAATGATTGGACAGAAATTTTCAGCCGCATGTTGACATGTAAATAATAACTGAAGCCCGTTGTACGCGAGGTGGCTCTAGTGGTCCAGTAGGTAATCCTGTGTCGTTTGAAAGGAGGGGCACTGTTTTCGAGTCTCAGTGGGAACACCATCACTTACTAGGGAATGCAGACACACCTAACTGATGAGGCCCAAATAGGACGAAATGCGCATCCTAAATTCTACTGCTAGTCACCCCCTCCCCCACCAAACTACTTCAAGTTAATCCTCAAACATCATCGAAACATCCACAGAAGGAGCCGACATGTCAACCTGGGGGCCAAACATTTCGGTCCAATCAATCAAGGAGAGAATCAAAATTGAATTAAAACAGGTATCTATTGCTCTGAAATCTGTATGGAGACATGAAGTACTACTTAGCACAGAGAACAAGATCCAAATTTGTCAATACTAATGTTAAGTCAGTGCTTTTGTATGACGCACAAACTTTCTTCTGTACGCACCACGAAAAGCATCTCCAACAGCCTGTTTCAAACTTTCATCAGCACCTGAAGAAAAGATATCTAATTAGAAAGGATGGGCAACAAGGAACTCTGGCAGCTAGCGAACCAGTCAACACCCTGTTGCTCAACAAACATGCTGAAGGAAATGTAGATGAATTGGGCATATGCAGAAGAGACGTTCAAGTGAGGTCACATCTTAGGCCGTCGAGTGGAACTTGAGTAGGGAATGTCCCATGGTAACGTGGAGAACATATGGGCAGTGGTGAAGCCAGGTGAAAGTGATGGTAGAGAACTGAGTGCAAGGAAGATGTGCTTCTAAAGCCGCATATTCCACTCGCAGAGCAAGAAATGTCTTACAATATCATAATAATATCAATAACGAAAATAGATAAAACAAAAAAGTACTGAGCAGCCAGCTTAAACTAGTGTGGAACATTTTAGTAGTGCATACTCATAATCTTGCGTCGGTGGCATAGCGGTTAGGATGCTCGCCGACCATGCACATGGTCCGGGGTTCTATCCCCGGCCGACAAGGCACTCCTTTACCTCGCTAAGCCAGAAATAATGCTGGTGAAGAGGAAAGGTTGGGCATGAGGCTAGCAACCCCATCCTGTAAAAATAAACACTGCTACAGAAACTTCAAGCCACTAGCTTGAAGCCTTATGTTCTACTGGGGAACGTAAAGGAAAAAAATACTCATAATCTCACAGCAAATAAAATCTAAAAGTGTCAAAATTTGAAGTGTGCACTCTATTGTTCAAGTCGAAATATAGAATTCAGCAGTTCATGATTTTCAAACTCTGTTAGTAAGAGTATAAACAATGTCATCAAAAGGGATTAATTGACTCTACACTCTGATTGGCCAATCCCACTGTTCATAGCTTCTTATCAGGAATTCAGAAAACCTATCAACCAGCCAATCAGTGGGTTGAAGCGTTTAATCACTAAGCTTGTAGAAACCAATCGACTGCTCAATCACATTAGTTTTAAACGACGAGCTAACGTATTCAAACCTTTTCTTTCATTTTCTTGCGTCCTGGGTAGAACATGGGACTTTAGGCTTGACCTTTGAATTTTCAGTAACGGTGGTGTATTTTTTTATAGGGTGGTGTGTCAGCCTTACATTCAACCTTCCCCAGTTTACTGGAAACACTACCGACCAAGCGAGATTTAGGAGTGCGTCCACCGAAGGTCGAACCCTGGACCACATGCGTGGTTGGCGAACATTGAATCTACCAATGAATCACCGAAACACATTCAAACCTATTACCTATCTGATAATGTGCTCATAACATTAATAAAAAAAAAACTGGAAATTAGTTGTGTTTTTCTTTACAGTTAAATTATGGAACTGAAAACGAAATAACTTACAAGATCTTTAAGATTCATCTTTTATGTGCAACGAAATATATCTGTGTGTGTGTAGATTACTCGTTTTAATTTCACAACGCGTATTCAGAGAGGCGTACCTAGGTAAGAAGAAAACAGATAACCAACGATTACTACTACATTTTCTGATAATCAAATAAACTTTTCATCTTTAAACTGAATAGATAACAAAAAAAATATTTCACAGATCTATTAATTTCAAGTTTGCCCACGGATTAATATCAGCTGGAGAACCAGTGAAAACCAGCAGGGAGTACTGGATAGCTGTTTCGTCCCAATTTGGAGCTCTTCAGTAGTATGCATCTACCGAGGTTCGAGCTCGGGACCTTTCGGTTACAATGCAAGCTCGTATACCATTCAGCCACTGGGACTCGATCCAATGGTCCATGAATTCTAACTTCTACCAATTCGTGAGTTTAGTGCAACCACTAGCCAATGTCATCGGTGAGTAGCTCTTCTCACTTGCACCTGCCGTGGTGGACCCTACTGGCCACGACTTCTCGCTAGACAACTTTGTCCTGTAGCCAGTCACTGGCGAGCACCGGATTAATTACTAGTCATATTTTCTCTTAGCTGAATGGTTTAGTTGCAAAGCTTTCACACTGTCTGCCTAGGTACAATATTCCTAGGGCATACTTCAATTTGAAGTGAGCTTTTAGAATTCCCCACAAGTTTATCAGTCATCTCTCCTGGTAACCTTGGAAGTAACCGGTTGTTTCTAGATATTTTCCCACCCTTTAGTCTAATTACGAGTCATTTATTGATGTAATGAGTGGTGATTCAAAGACAAAATGAAAACTTGAGTTGTAACAGGATACCAACCGATGATTTCTGGAGTACTAGCCCGACAGTATACTATATGCCAAAGTTATTGTTACACGGTAATCACATTACGAGTTGTGTCCAGCTGTAATGCAAATGACTGTGATATGTGACTGTCGATTTGACTGGAACAGATTTTTCATATACCAGGCCATAAGCCACATATGTTGCTAGAGGACTTATGATAATAAGTATCCAGTTGCCCAGAATAAGGTAGACGAAATGGAACTAAGATTTGAGACCCAGTGCCTAAGCCAATGAACCAAATCTCCACAACCATCCACTTAACATCATCACACCAGCTTGGCGACTGATTATTCTTCTGTCAATTACAATTACATGCAATTTAGGGTAGATCACATCGTTAACTGTTGATGAGACTATGTGTGATCGATTTGTGTTAACAGAATAATATTGAAATAACAGCTAGACATAATGCTTAACGATTGTAGTGGAATAAAGACAGAGTTTCATTAATCGGAAGTCAGTGTGGAAACCTGAGGATCTCAGCATGAAGAACAAGATTCGGATTCTCAACACTAATGTCAAATGAGTGTTTCTATACAGTTCAGAGGATTGGTGAGTCACGAAAAGCATTTCCAACAGATTTTCATCAACAGCTGCCTTCACGGCATACTGAAAACCAGATGGTCGGGCAGAAAGGATAAACAACAAGGAACTCTGACAGTGCAGCGAACCAACGAAGAACATATCACCCAACAAATATGCCAAAGGAAATGGACATAGACTGGACACAAGCTGAAGAGACCACTAGATGACATCAGATGACAGGCCACAAGGTAGCACACGAATGCGAAATGATCAGCTGAGTGTCCAAGTACAAGAAGGAGATCGTGTGAGGACGAAACGGAAGATTATGACCAATCGTGGAGCTAGCTAAAGAGAACTGAAGAGAACAGCATGGAATGGACGTGTGCCGTTAAAGCCCTGTCCCACTCGGAACCCAAAGTAATAATAATAGTAATAACAGTTCAGTAGGCAGAGATTCGGGTTAGTAATGCGAAGGCCGTTGGTTCGAATTGTGCAACTACCTAAGGGTTCATTTCACCTCCAGTCATCCTCTATTATGCCGATAACTGTGTGATAATTATGTCTTTGAATTACGGTTAGTAGAATCCTAAATCTTGTTACATCGCTTAGTTTTGAGGCGAACATGTAGAATAATAATCACTTAACTATGAACAACTGAAATGTTTTACTTCGTTTGTATTCCCCTCTTCACAGCTGAACACTCCATTCGGTACAAACCACAAAAAAGCAGTTACACAGCTAACGTATCTGTGTTTTATTTTAGATTACAAATTTCAACACCTACTAAGTTCAATGAAATCTGGTTGAAAAATTAGAAACATTACATTTTCGTCGTCATTTTATAGAAATTTGTCCTCCTGGCTTACCATAGTTTCACCGTGGTATTTTATGTTTGCATGCCCAGGGAGAACTTTATAGCTAGTGCAGCAGTATGGTGAAATCCATTTAAGTTTTACTCGTTAGACACTAATGAATACCAACGCGTGTATAGTTGAGAATTGGGATTTGTACTGTAACCACTTAGAAAAATCCATTATGATCCTATTTAATTTCATTTGCTCCCATTATTCTTAGAAAAAATTTTCACTGAGACGCAATAAAAGGAATTGACAGATGCAGAATATTATGTGTGGTCATAATAAAGGGTTTTCACAACCACCTTCACATTTTAGAACAGTATCCAAGCAAAGTAAACAGTTATCAAAACAGACTGACGGTAGCTCATATTCTACAGTTATATTTAATACACGGTTGGAAAAAGTACACCAAGAAACGTTACTTTAACAGTCTGAATTCAAAATAATTAAACCAGAATGAATTTAAAAGGTGGGCTAAATTCACTAAATGCTAAAAATTAATCCTACAAACCTAAAATCTTGCCAGAGATGTCCATCAAAAGTTGAATACCGTACGGTTATGTTGAGCATAGTATATTAACCAAAAATGGTGAGATTTAAAAGATTATATGAACTTAACGATATCTATAAGTCAGTACAGTCGAAAAATAAGTGTAAGAGACTGTCCAAAGAGAAAAGAATACACACAAATTTATTTATCTATACAGTAGTTTATATCTCATGCTGCAGGAAACAAGTGAGAATAGCAAAGGGGTTATTATTGATATTGACTTCAAATCATAAAATCCAGTTCACAAGGTAGTGCAATACGGAAAACCGTGCTAAAGAGTACGAGGAAAAACACTTCTGAACATTATACCGTAATATGTTTTTACACAGCGAATAACTGTCCCTGTTACATCCGAAATACAGATTACTGAACTTAATTATTTGACGTAACTTAGATTTGTGAGAAGAAATATTAGACGAAATTTTAGTTCAGAAAGGTTGCACTATAAAAACATAGAGAAGAACAGCTCATAATGTGGTGTGATACAGACAATAAATTCCAAAGGAATATTATTCTCACATATTCCCACAGTTTAACACTGCATTAGCAAAAGAATACTATGCATATTTGAACGTTATAGTTCATGTTGATTAATGTAAACCAAAATCACACACTCAGTGATTGGTTAAAGAATATAAACTGTATATAAACAAATAGCGGTTTGATCGGTTGAAAGTATGTGTTTACTTCAGTGTCTTGCCATCTGCTGTTACAATATAACGTATAGTATATGGCCTATGGTGATTCGCTATTTCACAGAAGGAGGAATAAAAGTAGAAATAGCTCGATCATAAAATTTTAAAAAGGATGAGAAAATGAACGATGATTAATGAGAGAGCTCAGGATTTTGAAAAAGAATAAGTACATTAGAGTTACGATGTTCTACTCGAGACTGTATCACTCAGACTTTTAATCATGAATTCCCAATATAACTAAGACCGTAACTAGATATCTACCAGGATTACGATTTTATGGATAATTGTATTTGAATAGCCATCCTTGGCTTTCTATTACCGGATATAAGCTAACACCTGTTCAAGTTTGGCATGATAAATTCAAAAGAAAATTTATCTGCTTGATATTTCTTCGAAAAAGGGATATAAGCTTAGTGAAGGATGAGACTAATGTGTTGAAAACAAATTCTCTGGATAGTTATTTTATATTAAGTAGACTGATGAAATTTCAACAAGTTTACAAGAAGCTCGATATATTTTGCTTAACTACTGTTCATGCTGTGATATCCGTATACCTGCCACGCGGTGGACTTATTATACAAAACATTCGACCGTTTTATAAACATGAACAAGTCTATGATGTCAGATATACTGTTTATATTTACTAATAAAGGGTGTGAAAAATTTGTTGGTTGTCAAAATCAAATTAGGCACTAATCAAATGAACTACTCAACTCCCTTAAAATATATTGAAAGCCACGCAACAAATTCAGGCCCGTTTGTAATGAAAATGTAATAATTTACTTCTCACACAATAATCAGATTAGTGCCCGAAGACTGCTTAGGTGTCTACGATGAACCCAAAGACAGTGCTGGCTAGGTACGTACAGAATTCCAACATGTTTTGCTTGAAGGAGAAAACTAAATCTACACTATACATGTGACCTAAACTGTCGAAATGTTTACTAGCACTTCATTTCCTCTATTGACCCAAAAAACTTGTGTAAACTTGGTGGTTATTTTGGGAAGAAGGGATATACTTTCCCTAAATTTTTACACTGAGGTGCCCCCAAAACTTTTATTTGGGTGATATAGATATCTCATATCTGACGTCAAGACGTGTTAAGTCAGCATTTCCTTGAGGTCTTTAACCAGTTTGGAAAAACTCCTTGACACAAAACTTATGCCATTTAAAAACAAAACAGGAAAAATGTCCTAATACGCCACACAATACCTACAAAGTTAATCAGGAGGCAGTAGCGCTCCTGTTAAAAAACGCGGGATTCCAACTCCCAATATTTTTGGACTATTAAGAGAGAAGATTTGATTATTTTGTGCTTGATACCTGATATTGCATTATAACAGCATAAAACGTGTTGCTTAGATATTCAAATGCAATAGTACATCTCTACTGAAATGTTTGAAGTGTATTGACATACCAATAATATAACCTTAAAATATCTGTTAGATTCTATTGTGAAGGCTCCAGAAGTTGATCAGGAGCCATGCAGGAAAAGTAGAAACAAGTGTAAAAACAATGGGCATGCACAGGGGACGGAAATCAGCTCTCATGAAAATATTTCGCTCTGGTATCACGCGACATGAATGAAGCCAGATCCACCACTTCTTTTTGTCCGTTATGATGGATATACTCAACCACCACAATAGGCAGCAGTCCAGATATAGAAATCACTTGGAAGATCCTCGTCTTATTATGTTGTTCTGCTATCCTTTTTAAATACCATCCTAGTTAAGTGGTTTGTTATGTTTCTGTAAGTTATCCTACGAAACTAATCTTGCTTTTCAGCGAAGTTATTCTTCCCGATTTCGACCACGGATTCTGGAAAGACGACCAACCATAATGCGTCCTAGTTATTTGGAGTGTATTGGAGGTAATATGTCTCAAGCAGAAATTTGAAAAGTTGAAAACGTTTGGCTGCCATACCTCTAACACCACTCTCTGGTTGGTAAAGTTTACGTTTCTTTGTTGATTCCGATTTGACTGATATGAGAATCCGTTCGAGTTTATCGGTCAGCTCTGCGAAACGAAAACAGCTAAGTTATGAATTCCTTGTAACTTTCTAGCATATTTAACCAGTGACTGTACCTACCACTGATAACTCAAATTTCAGAGCGTGAGATGAGTCCGATTATTCGTCATTTGGATGAAATTTTCAGAATGCATTGATTTCTGTGTCTTATGAACGTGAGGTCTCATGGTTTTTGCCCAACGCATGACCCTGTTTAAGGAAGAATAGATGTAGAGAGTGCGTAGGTGGCACAGAGGTAGGATGCTCGCTGACCACGCAGGTGGTCCGGGGTTCGATCCCTGGCCGATGCACTCCTTCACCTCAGTAAGCCAGTAATGAGAGGGTTGGGCATGAGGCTGGCAGCGTCGACACGTAAAAATAAACACCACTACTACTGAAACTTCAAGCCACTAGCTTTAAGCTATGTGTTCCACCGGGAACGTAAAGAAAAAATGTAGAAATTGGATTTAGTGTAAGATAGCTCAATGATAATATAGTTAGGGGATCTGTCGTCCTGTGTGTCGTCAAGAAAACAAAGAATTTTAAAGACCTCATAACACATGGAGCAATATCATTGACATGTTCACTTGGTAGGAGGTTGGCGATCAAGGAATATGGAGGCAAAATGAGCAGCTAATTAGACGATGAAACTTCTGTGTGATTTATAAAGTCTCCTTTCTATGCTGAGAGACATTGAAAGATGCATGCTCTTTCTTATGTTGGACTATGTATCACAACCTTACTTCCTCATCAGCGCACCTATAAAATGTAAGTTTAATACAGTTTTCTATGTTTCTGGTTTTTACATGTTATTGGTCTCACTTTTAGTAATAATTTTGACAAGAGAGTTAGTTAATAATGTCACTTCCTCACTCCAAATAGTAGATATTGATTGGAGACTACTGGCTTGTAGATAAGGTGGGATAAAGCTGACCAGTGAATATAAATTATGCTATTTTTATTCTTTGTGAATCTCATAGTGCCCACTGGCCTGTGGCGATTGATCAAGAGCTTCCTATATGGTTTTCTACATCTATCCCCCACAGTTGTTCGTAAACGAACCCTTTACAAGAGCTGCTTTATTCTCGCTTGATGCGCACTGTTGGTCAGTTGACTTTTGGATAGTTCAGTTACTTGATGGTTGTTAAAATATCATAATAATAATCATTTATTTATCACTGACGCACTGTTGTAAGTGAATTCGGATTTTATTTATCATTTCATTCTTGTGTTCATTTATTTTCAAATGACTTTAACTATCACGGCAATTTTTCGCAAACCCATGAGTGTTCCTTAATAATAATATATATTTATTCCTATCTATGTAGGACACACCAGTTGTACAGGCATGGATAAGTATTATTTACATTACATTAATTTGATTTATGGTGAAATTACATGGTCTCTGTCCTTTCTGAAATTAGTCTGTGAGTACAGTCTGCTAACTAGTCACTCAATGGAGCATTTGGAGGTTGAAGGTATCGACGTTTCGCGAACCGTACGGAGTATACTAACGCAAGATCTTATACCAATAGCTGCTATAGTGTTCGCTCTTCGAGTACCAAAGATAAAGCGAAAGACCGGATTTAGTCGTCCAAATTACGTAATATATTTCGGGACCAAATCGCGGGTTGAAGTGAATGCTTAGCTAGCTAGTAGTCGTGCACGAACGTGACACGACGGAGTACCAAATGGCGGGGATGCTTGACGGGAAGCCTTCAGCTAAACAAGTCGACTTAAACATTGGGGGTCAGCATCCAATGTTGAGTGATGATTGCTGTGGTTAATAATTTTGGGGAATTATTTACCGCTACAAGCACATTAAGAAATCTTCGCATTAACAACAAAATAGAAGTATGTGTTAGATGGGTTACAAATATTGGGGAAAAAATAAACCTTGAATTCAATTCCTCCATATAACTATGGTGTGTGCGGCATCGTGGAGGTCACATTTAGAGTTGATGTTTGGGGATTCACCTATGATAATGAATATAAAACAAGTATTCATTATGAAATATTTGGACAATATTTAATTCCATCAGTTGGATTCACCAAGCTTCCGGGGTAATCTTTCTGCAAATTCATGAACAGATAATACAGAGCCTTGTTGCAAATGCTTCACTACATTATCATGTAGTGCATAACCACAATTCAAATGTTTTTTTGATCAGGTGATTATTGACTCAATTTGAAAGACTTTTAGCCCTTTAGGTTGCTAGTTTCAGCTATAAATGACCTTGTTGGTTGTTATTTGATGACGTATTTCCTGGCAAAGCAAGTGACTTACTCTACATTCCGGTCCATAACTTGGTGAAAAGGCCCTTGAATACCACTCGGTTAATAAAATAGTGATTTCAGATCTACACATGTTCAAGATTTGTTCAGAAAATAAGAAAATGAAAAACTGTAACAGTACGTGGCCAGAGGACAGCGCAATTAATACTCTTCCTTTTTTTCGAACTCCAAGTGACGCCAAAGCCTTTTCTTAACCACGTACAAAATCTTAGGGATAAATGGAAATAACAAGATGAGGATCTCAAGATCCTCTGCACTATACCACATCAAGATTAAGGCTAGGAACGCACTGATAATAATTCTATAGATCCGTGGGTGACTATAGGCAGGTATTTGGTGTACATAAGTGTACTACTCGATGCATGAACAGCATGACAGCTATACAGGCACTGATTTGTTCTTCTCGTCGACACTAGTAAATCAAACAGTTGATCCCCTGAATGGCCTTGTTAGTAATGCCGAGGAAGTATGTGGTGTATGCTTTCGTTAGTGAGGCTCTCCCTACTAACCCTGTAGCACAGTGACACATTTCCAATCAGTAACCCGGATGTCACTTAAGTGTATCCTATGAAGACTCAAGTTGTTGCTTCCTACATTCATCCTTCTCTCAAGATGAGCCCTCATAGAGACTTTAAATAACAAACAATTACTACCACAAACATCATTATGAAGTGTGGTTGTCACGTAGGCATCAATATTTGTTGTGCGTTCAAAGTCTTAGGACTTTTGAATGAGACAGTCAGTTGAACTACGTGTCACTGTCGACGGAATGTTCAACACCAGTAAAAATACTCCAGTATATATAATACCTGAATCCTCGCATTGAAAGTGTCTTTTGGTGCAAACCTATCGTTAGTTTAGTGTTTATTTTAACACTTTGTCTTCTGCCAGCTTTCATGCGAGTGTATATCTCAAGTGCATTCGTCGTAAAATACCCTAGAATCTGTTAATTTATTACCTTATCAAAGCGTTGCCCATTTAGGTATCAAATCAATGTTCCCACAGTCTTCAGTAAATAGAACACAGGATTTCTGTCGGCAAATAATAATGGGAAGGACAGAAAAAATTTCATTTAAGCCGTCTCAGTAAAGACTGACGGAACGAGCAACTAAGTAGGAAATATATCCTTTTTATGATTGTTAAGGCTTTATTTATCTCCTGGATGCTGAATGCCACTCCGTTAGTTTGACCGCTCCATTTGTCCTCTGCCATGCTCTTGGAAATAAAGTTTCACAAGCTCCATTAGCCTCCTACAATTATTAAATCTGTTCAGTCGGTAAACTGAGTAATTATTTTGGCGGAAACATTTGCTTATACCTCGGTGAAAGCGTTTCGTTCATATTTGCCCTCTAGTTAGTTTAAGTTGACCACAGTCTATTTGTCTGTGTTTTGTTGGCTTTAGGACCTATTTATTATTCCGCTAATTACCATTTAGTTCTGTATGTTTTACTTATTATGTCTCGTTCGTCAAACACAGAAATTCTCTTAGAAAACTCTACTGCTGCGGAAGTGGATTCTTAAGTAACTACAGAAGTTACCTGAATTTGAAATGATGCGGATCTATTGTTGGTTCGACTGCAGAGCCACTGTAACCGGTATCGCATTAGGTTTGAAACCACCAGGCATGGGGACTTATCTTCTCAATCGCCTTATGGGATTAGCAAGGAGGTGCAGGATCCCATAGCTTCGCACTCCTCAAATGATCTGCAATACACAGCACCTACGTGAGAGGTGATAAAACGCATCTTCATATCAAACTACCAGGATATTCAGCGGTTGCATTAAGGGAGGGGGAAATGAAAAATAGGTCTTCATCACAATGATTGATCCAGGTGCAGCAGCTTTCAGGGAAAATCCCGGCGTGAGAGACTGTACTGAAGCAAGGTTGTATGCAAACCAGCCCAGAGTACGTGCGGCTAGCACTAGACTTACAAAGTCCTAAAAGGATAGCACAAATCTCTGATCGAATTTTGGAGAGGTGGTGACTTACAGAAGGGCAACTGAACCATATGAGCATGAGCGAAGACTCTAAAATCTTAGAATTAATGGCAAAAGTTAGACAACTAATGGAACAACTGGCACATATACAAAGTAGTCAGGGTAGATAATTCAAATGAGCATGTCCCTGACCAAAGAGTATATCCGGACAAACTAAGTCAACAGGTAAGTTCTGTTGGTATCACTATACGTTTGGCGCACGGTCAACAAAATTTTTATTTTTTGATTACAGCTTGATTCCAAACCGTATTTTCTGGTACAAGTATGGAATTTTCAGCATGTGATATCGGTAGCCCAGATTTCGCAAACCGACCATAGACATCAGGTGTTTGTCGGCTGGAGATAGGACCCCGGACCATGTGCATAGTCGGTGAGAGTTCTAACGGCTGTGCTACCGACACACTGAAAATACATTAGCGGTGGAAACCTTTACCCTTAACTAATTCATGATGATATTCAAAGTGAGGAGGATTTTGGACCAAAGTCTGGTGTGTGCAGCTTCGTAATGAAAGCTACATTGAGATCAAGAATAATTAGAGAAGAAAGATGTATATATATTTAAGGTATTAAGTAGTATTTAGAAGTAGTAGAGCAAGTCATTCTAAAAAAAACTCAAAAAAATGTATATACAAATAAGTAATTATAGGATGAATCATACAAGAATTGGGTAGTCGCATCCCCCTTTCCCCATCTCAGGCGTCGCCTGAAGGAGATTCAATAGATAATCAACTGATCACTGATCTACACTATCTATATACATGCTATCACACACTAGTAGGAATTTACTTTTACACTGAGATTAGGACAAAAAGCAAAACGTTACTTAAAACACACGTATGTACATGTAGTTGTTAAGTAGGATTTGATTGAAATGCATAAGAATAAATATGAACTAACTATCTGAAATATATGCATAAAAGATAAATGTAAGCAATAAAGAAAAGGTATTTAACATTGGTATATTGTCAGTATTACTAACACTACTACTACTATTAGTAGTAGTCTTAGTAGTATGTAGTGTCCATACTATTTCTCTATGATAGGTGAATAAAGATATATTATTAAATATAGATGGTAACCATAATGTATGCGGTGGATTAAAGTATGACATTGTATCAGTTGGCCTCTTCTGTTGCTTATCTTCTTCTTCAACCTGTGAGGAGAGTTTAGTACTATTGACCAATATTTTGATGTCATTTGTAGAAGAAGAAGACGACAACGACGAAGAAGTATAGATATTTCTCTGGTTATTTACAAATAATTGTTGTTTATTAAAATGATTTGAATTTATCATCAATGGGGCCTAGAAATGAGAATAAAAAAGATGTACGAGTGTATTATTATTATTATTACTAATATCATCACCATTAGTGTGTAGAAAGCAAAAGTAATCGATTTATAGTAATTTAAAATTATAGGGCTAACTGATAAAGACATTAAATTTAGAAGTGTACGCAGAAGTGAGTCACACTTCCAGTTGTAACAACTGTAAACAATGTAACGACAGAAGACAAGGGCCAGACAACAGATCGCTTATTGAGGAAATCAGCCTCATCTATGTGCATCTACCAATTCACCTGCTCGTGTGGAGCCAGGTATATCGGCCGTACTCAGCGTTCGCTATCCAAACGCGTCAACGAACATTTACCTTCATGGTTTTATAAAGGAGAAAACCGATGCCCCCGCAGCTCGATCCTTGAACATTTGATCGATTCAGGACACCAAGTCAAACCAGAAATAAACTTCAAAGTTATCTACAGAATACAAGGCAATCTTGCTAAAAGTGTACGGATCAAACTTCTCCACATCACAGAAGCAATGGCAATTCATCTGCTAAATCATGAACTCTGCATACAAGAGAAATTCGTTCATTCATTAAATCTACAATGGACGTAATCTTTCTTAATTTCAGTCTTACTAATTGTATTATTTTGTCTTTTGCACTTTATTATTTCACATCTTCATTTGTATTATTTTCTACCCCACCCTTTTGTAATCTCTACCCTCATTAACAATGTTGCTAACTTGACCCACGTCCAATTTCTAGTCAACTATGTTACGTCATCCGATTAACTTACTTAATTTTTAACTGTATTATTCTCTACCCTCATCCTTATTTAATTTTAACCACTACTCATTAACACTGTTGCCAACCTGACATACTCTGAATTCTACTCAATTGTATTACGTCATTCAATTCACTTAATCAATTTTATTTTACTTTGTTTTCTATCTAATTAACGTTTATTTCCAAGCCAAATAATACTTATATTACGTAATTATCTAAACTTTGTAAATCTAATGTACACACACACAAACAAAATTGTATAAATATGCGATTGTACAGCTCAGTGAATGAATTCGCCGAAAAGAGTCTCTTCGCTGAACGCCTTGTTTCCTTTTATAAGATATTTATATATTTTCACGCACATTACTATTCGTAATTATTAACAGAGAAACAACGTCTTTTGATTGGTCGTTTTCTCCCTGGAAGTTATTGTCATCTCTCTATGTAGCCCTTTCTTTGAAGGTCAGACAATATGTCTGCGAATCGTATCCGCCCACGCAAAGTTTGCTGTGATTGGTTGTTGAGTTAGTATTTATTCTTGTTCTTGTTGACCAAGATATGGAATGCAAACATTGACGTAAATTGCTGTCTACCAATTTTGGCTAGCAGACAGCTCTCACCACAACAGAATACACAAAGGAAAAAGAGAAAGTCGAGTTTTACTTCGACATACGTTCCAGGAACCATGGCAATTAACCAACCAACAAATATGCATATGCATAAGGAAATAGAGATGAATCAGACGTACGGTGAGGATACGATTAAGTGACACCATACGCCAGAGTGTAGAGTGGAAGATTCAATGGAAAACGAGGTGAGCTTGAGTCCAAGAGTGACATGGAGACGATCTAGTGGGGGGGGATATTTTTATTTATTTTTTTATTTTGATTTTGATTTACAGCTTGATTCCACACCGTATTTTCAGTACAAGTATGGAATTTTCAGCATGGATATCGGTAGCCGAAATTCAGGCCGACCATAGATATCGGGTGTGCGCCGGCAGGGGATCGAACCCCGGACCATGTGCATGGTCGGCGAGAGTCCTAACCACTGTGCCACCGACGCGTTGTGGATCCATTTGTTAAAGACTGAAGAGAACAGGATAAAAATGGAGATGTGCTGTTTAAGTCCTGGTTCACTAGGATAATCTGAACACTGCAGTAGCCTGAAATCTCATAATAGGATAATTTCATTTGATAAAATACAGTGATATACCATTTATTTACTGATAATGTCTCGAGCACAATTCATTGCTCATAATCACATCAAGGTGCTCACGTGACTTAGAAATTCTGTTGATATAACTCCACCGATTTTTATCCTTCGATTTTATTGATAATAATGTTTTCCATATTTTTGGTATGGGTGTTGCATTGTTCCTATTGTAAGTGTTTGATGTGGATTCGATACACTAACACTCAGTAATCAACATCTCCCCCTACCCAACTACATTACTTTTTAGGACTGTAGCTCTGTTCTCCTCTAAGTTAGTTATGCTTTTGGGTTCAGTCGACCTTACAATTATTGCAAGGTATTTTGTAGATCAACTTATTTTCTCTAATCGGGTCCACCGGATTCTTTAGCCTACAAACCTTGTCTCTCAGTGAGTTTGTAGGTTTGAATGCCACTATCCTAGGTCCCAAACTTTATGAATAATCCTTATATATTGACACTAAAAATCCCTTTAATTATCTCTTATTTATGTGTTATGGTCAAAAGTTTCAACACTGTTTCTTCCTCAATGGTGAGCTATTTCAGTTTCTAAATGAATTTCAAGCGACAATTATCGAACAATAATGCTTGTTCCATCTGTTTAATTTCATTATTTAGGTTTTCTGATATGTTACATTGAATATATATATATATACGAACCCACCGGAGTTCGAACCCAGGACCATTGAGCAGGTTGCAGATGAGGCAGTAACTCATCGGAGAAGACATATATATATACCGATCACCTCAACGTAATCGGATGAATAAAAGGAAGCCAAATGTATCAGTAAATAACACCTGAGTCACCTTAGAAAGAAAGTGACTCCCCTGATTGAGTATCCTAGCGAGTAATATGCTCTAACATTTGAAAATAAATTCCCAGTTCGAAGCTCATCACTGAGATACTGAGAGGAGAGGAGCGTCTATTCGATTTTTTCAGCATAACCTCCAACAATCTTCATATGAAAAAAGTAAGAAAGTGTTTGCAAGCGCCGTTGTTTTAAGCATCTGATCGGCACGCGACATTTAGTCAAAATCAGTTAAGCCTTCAAACTAAACAATATACAGAGAAAACTCCTGGCAACTTTGCTTCACAGAAGCCATTGCTATGAAACAATTTTAACCCAATCGCTGAATACCTAAAGACAACGTCATTAATTTCGCATTACCCTGGCAACTAGACGTCTCCTCGACTCTGTATCTGTTGAATCACACTATAATTCCCTAAACTTCATTGACCTAAAGTCATCTACCAGTTGTTTCACCCGCCTCCCCTCAAACGTTTCATCACATTATGCACAAAATAAAAAACTAGATGTATGATTACTACCTATCTCGAAGTCATATCTCTGGTTCCACTGATACGCCTTTTGAGTTGAAATAACTTTTTGAGTGCATTATATGTGTATATATACTTACTTACTTTACTTTGCTTCGGCTATCTCCTACGGAAGGATGAGCCGGCTTCATGAACTTCTCAAATCATCGCTACCCAGGCGCAGCGATCTGATGAAGAGAGTTTACGAAGTTTCATGGGAATTTCGTACGAGTGATGTCCCCAGAATCACTCGGCCTTTTGTTTGAGAGTGCAGCTCTAGCCTTTACACAACCAAGTGTGACCTACAAGGCAGTAGGAGTGGAGTAGGGAGTCCACTATCCATTGGCAGCCGGTGACCGGAGTTCGGTTCATACGCCTTTTTGAATGGGGCCAGACATCCAGGACATCCAACAAGCCCTTTGTCCATACGTGTGCCGGTGAGCTCCAGTGAGCTTCATACGCCAGTCGTTGGAGGTTTGGAATCAGGGTTTAACTATCTCCCCTAGACTGTCATCCAATGGACAGTCAACCCGGTGAAGAGCGCCGGGCATCCGCTTTCGCCCTCTCACTTTGGTGAAAAACACCTCCGCCACGTGAAGGCAGTGAGTAGGACTTCCTCAGGAGAGGCTATGTAAGACGCCCAGTCATATGGGAGCATTTCAAGAGGTGTGCGGAGGGGTGGCCAACTCGCAGCGCAAGGCACCCACCCCTGACCATCCTGAGGCTTTGGAAGCTATATGCATTTATAATAAATTATGTCATTTTTAGGCTGTTAACAGATGATGAAAAGCTCTGAAATAAGAAACACGAGCTCTTTTTATCCCAAAAATTATGTTCGTACATTCTTTTTTCAAGCTTGCAATAAGTGTTTAGCCATAAGAAACCTTGATAAAAGCAATCCAAAACAAATGATTCAGCGAAGAGACTCTTTTCAACGAATTTATCATCGTCAGAACAGGACTTCCAATGCTTCAAATCTACAATCACTGACTCTTGCAATCAATACCTTAATGCAAGATCAAAAATGCAAAGTCTCTTGACCAAACAGCACAAAGAAGAACTTAAACTTTTGACGCATAACAACGATATATTACTAACACGCCCTGACAAGGGTGCAGGTGTTGTTATTAT